ACATTCACACACACACACACACACACACACACACACTCACACGCACACACACACACACACATGCGCGCACACACACACACACACACACAAATATATCATGAACAACAACTCATGAAAAACTATCACCAAAAAAAAAAGACAACAGCTGTGGATCATTCAGGTAACAACACATGTTCTGACTGATGAAACGTGAAGAGAATTAACACACTTTTGCAACAGCGTATGGTTTATCCGTCTTCTTCATCTCAGGTATTTTTCATAAGGAGAATGAATATTTTAATGCAATTCTAATCGACGTAACCTGAATCACTGTATAGAATACCATAAAATAATTTCTGCCTCATTCTGTAATAAGAAGCAGTTCACAGAAGGAAGTTATTTCAAACACTCAATTGATGCTATAATGCAAATTTGAAGTAAAAATACGTAGTTATTCTCATGTATTTTTGTACTTTGTTCGTTTTATAGAGGGCTTGCCTAAACAGGCCAATGAGAGAATATTAATTATTACTCTTCCTTTTAATTAGGCTACACATATGTCTCATTAAAAATGTCTACAAATTTATAAAACTGATCCAAGATTAGGTAAAAACCACAGACATTTAGTTGTGCTGTAACAAAGCCCTGTTTATTGAAATCACACGATTTTGGTTATGACTGATATCATTATTTATTTTCTCTTTTTTCAAGATTTTTATATATATATCGTGATATATCATTATCGTGAACTCTTCTGGCCACAATAATTGTGTTTACAAATTAAATAAAAATTAAATAATATACATTTTTGAAATAAAAATATATTTTGTGATTTGTAATTATATTAATAAATAATTTAGATATTTAATTTTTATCTTAGCCAGTATTTGCTGTGGACAATCGTTGTCCTTAGTTATTTTTGCAAGATAATATAGAGGTAAATTAATGTAGTAGTTATTAATTTTGCATCAAGATCTGAGAATCTGGAACCGTTTGAAGTGCTTGGATGCATTTGGACATAATTAGTTTAGCCATTTGAACAATAATTTCTGAGTTTGAGTACACGAGCTCGTCTCCTAATCACAGGTGTGTGTTTTACATCAACTGAACTATTTAATCAGAAGAAAGTATGGCTGGAAATGTTGGTTTCAGATGTTTTAATTAGCAGGTCAGATTATTTCCAGGCAGTGCATGTTGGTTTATGAACTAATACTTCCCTGTGAATGGTTTTAGTGAAACGCTTGACTTCTCAGAACAAAGATGACGCAACATCAAGAGCAGCTCTGTTTTCCCATTCGATGCGCTCCGTCATATTCAAGATGAAGCGCAGATTCCAGCCGCTCTAATATAAAAATGCCAGTCATATTTTAACGATTAGCAGATGAGTATGTTTGGACATGTGCAGACGATAACTGACAGCATTTGTCAAAGCCGGTTTACAGCGGACTGCAGAAGAGAAAACAACAGCGAAATAAAAGTGTTTATCAGCATGTGTTATAATGTAGAAGAGCAGAGCCTTCACTGTTCACATGTGTTGAGATGTTCCTGTTACACTCTACATTATCACATCCATCATGTGTCTAAATACATAGGAGAAAATGGATGGAAATCATATTTGTTAGAGTCCTTTTATCCAGGGTTGTTATAGTTAACTAATACTGAAACCATGAAAAAGCATTTTCCTTACTTGAAGTAAAATATAATGTTTTTTATTTTATTAATCATTTTAATTTAGTTTTACTTAATGTAATAAAATAACTAAAAAGAAAACTGAAATAAAAATAATAAAAAAAACTACACAGACATTTAAAAACAACAAAAACTAGTAAAAATGTCAAACACAAAACTTTAACTAAAATTTACATGAAAGCAGAAAATATAAAAATTAAATCTAATTTAAAATGTTAGCAAAAACTACAATAGCATCTCAGCAATATTAAAATAAGACAGCTTTTATCTCTGTTTTAATGAGTTGAGTGAATTTTCTTCTTGGAAATATATTCAAATTGGAAATATTGTAGTATAGCAAAATAAGAGGTCAAAGGTTTTGTTTCCCAGGGTTATTATATCAACAAAAACTACAACTGAATGGTATTTTTTATTTTTATTTTTTAATTTAATTTAATTTAATTACATTTTTAAATAAATTTGATCATTTTATTTAATTTTATTATTTAATTTTATTATTCTATTTTTTATTAAATTTTTAAATTAATTTTTATCTTTTATTTAATTTTATTATTCTGTTTTTATTTTATTTTTTATTTATTTTTATTATTTTTCCTTTTTATTAGTTTATTTTATTTTTTGACTGTTTTGTTTTTTATTTATTAATTTTTACTTTTTATTTTATTATTCTGTTTCATTTTATTTATTTATTTATTTTTTTTTTTAAATACAAAAACTTAAATAATATTAATACAAAAAATAATAGTATCCCTGATACTAAAATAACTGTGTCCAGTCAAACTGTACAATATACAGATTCATTGCACTAAGCGTACTATTTCTAAAGATGTTCATCATATTAGTTTAATGAAAATATGACAGTGAATTGAACATGATACTTCAGTTTGACTGGATATTCATGTTTCTTTCTTTCTCAAATTGAAATGCTTCAAACAAAGCATGTTTAATTGGGAATATTGTTGTAATTGATAATTAAATTATACCACTTTCCATCCTGTTTTGCAGAAGCACTTCAACCAATAAGAGGCATTTCCTGGCTGACATCATCCCACAGGAAGTGACATCATGACTGGAGCTCAAACATCAGTAAGTATCAGTGGATTTGATGACTTTATGAGTGTTTTGTGCTGTTAGTTGGTTGGTTTGCGTCTTTTCAAACCCTTCACGTGTTTGGTAATATCAGTAACATTACAAAAAGATGCTTCAAATCTAAAGTAGAAATGTCTCACTGTAATTCTAAATGTCTGTTAAACTCTTTTATAGTAATATTTCTTTATTATACAACACACACAGCTAGATTTGTGTCTTAGTTCAGAGTTAAAGGTTCTTCCCTGCAGGAATGACTGAAGGGTGGTCTCTGTGGTGCACAAACAGACGTCAGTGAAGAGACACAGAGAGCCCGAGGACAAGACAGTTCACCCAGAAATCTAAGTTCTGTCATCATTTCCTCACCTTCATGCCGATCCAAACTCTTCTGAATTCTTTTCCTCCCCATGAAACACAAAAGGAGAGATTCTGAATACATACTGAATCACTAATGAAATCACTCTGGTGGCCACTGCGAGGGCTCTGGACATTATTAACTAGCTTCTGATTAATTCATCATTAAGCCAAACAAGAAGACTGAGAGATGGATGCTGTACTGTAGGACAGCAGATTTTATTTGATCTTACTTGACTTTGTTTAGCACTGAGAGGCTATATATTGCATAGTGTGTTGTAGTATGACTTCATTTTATTTTTTTGTTTTGTACTTCATTTTGTTTTTATTTTATATTTGTCATTATTGTTTTGTTACTTTTTATTATTCTATTTTATTATACTTTTTTATTATTGTGTAATATATTATTTTTAACATATTTATATTTATTTTTAATATATTTTATTAT